GGTGCCGTGGCCGCTTCTAAATCCAGCTTGAATTCCTGGTCTCTGTCTGTCAATATACTCTTCTAGCTGATTTTTCATAGTCTTCAGCAAGATTTTGCTTACACAGCATACTACTGTTTGTTAATTTCCACATTCAGTTGAATCATCTTTTTTGGGAATGGGAACAAATTTGGACCTATTCCAGTCAGTCCGCCAGGTAGTTATTTGTCTTCCAAATTTCCACACACACACTGAGTACACCCAGAGTTGTGTCACTTGAAACATGTCAATTGGTAGCCTGTCGATTCCTGGGATCTTATTTTTTGCCAATGCCTTCAGTGCAGCTTGAACTTCTTCCTTCGTTACCACTGGTTCTTCTTGTTGTGAAATGCTGTCAAGTCGCTGGTGATTCATAGCGACCCTGTGTACAACAGCTCTGAACCCTGCCCTGTCCTGTGCCACGTCATCTCCCCACATGCCCACCCCCATGACCCCAGTCACTGAGTCAATTCATCTCATCCACGGTCTTCCTCTCATGTGCTGTCCCTCCACCCTCCCAAGGACTGATCCCTCCTTGAGATATGCCCAAAGTATGTCAGATGGAGCTTCAGAATCTTTGCCTCCAAGGAGCAGCCTGGCTTCATGAACATGTTTGTTCTCCTGGCAGTCCATAGTATATTCAATGCTCTTCTCCAGCACCACAGCTCAAAGACATAAATTCTATCATCCCTACTCATTGTCCAGCTTTCTGATAACAAGCAAGTAATTGCAAATACTATGGCTTGGATCAGGTGCACCTTAGTCTCCAGACTGACACTGTTGCTCTTCAGTACTCTGGAGAGGTCCCTGACAGCAGATTTTCTTCATGTAATTAGTCTTTTGATTTCCTGGCTGCTGATACCAAAAGTATTGATTGTGGAGCCAAACAAATTGAAGCTGTTAACAATCTCAGTCTCTTTACCCTCTATCATGATGCTGCCAATCGGACCAGTGGTGAGAATCTTTGTCTTCTTGATGTTGAGCTTCAATCCATATTGAAGACTGCAGTCCTTGACCTTCTGTAGAAAATGCCTTAGGTCCTCAGTCTCGGCAAGCAGGGTTGTGTCACCTGCCTAACACAGGTTGTTGATGAGTCTTCCTCCAATCCTGATGCCACAGTCCTCCTCATAGAGCCCAGCCTCCGGATGATCTGTTCCGCATACAGATTGGAAAGATATGGAGATAGGAAGCATCCCTGGTGTACACCTTTCCTGATTTTGAGCTATGCAATGTTTCCTTGCTCTGTTCTGACAACTGCCTCCTGGTCCAAGTATGGGTTTTGCAAAAGCACAATCAAGTGTTCGGGGATTTCCATTCTTCTCAGAGTCAGCCACAGTTTGTTGTGACCCACACAGGCAAATGCCTTTGCTTAGTAAATGAAGCACAGATAGACATTCTTGTATTCTGTGCTCTCAACCAAGATCCATCTAACATCAGCTATAAGATCCCTAGGACCACAGCCTCCTCTAAACCCAGCCTGCATGTCTGGCAGTTCTCTGTGGATGTGTTTGATCATGTGCTATGTTCTGATATATCTATATGTTGTTGTTGCTGTTATGTGCTATCAAGTCGACTCCGACTCATAGTGACCCTATGAAAAGCAGCTCTGAACCCTGCCCTATCCTGAGTCCACCTCACCGTCTCTGGCACACCTGACCCCACAGCCGCAGTCACTGTATCCACCCGTCACCCAGGGTCTTCCTCTCCTGCTCTGCCCCTCAAGCATGATGTCCTTCTCCAAGGCCTGGTCCTTCCTGACAACATGCCCAAACTATGTGAGGTGAGACATCAAAATCCTTGTCTCCAAGGAGCAGCCCGAGTTTCCCCGTCCATATGAGGCAATAAAAAATAACAGTGGTTTGGGTTGGGTGCTCTTTCAGTTCCCAGTGTGACACCTTTTCTTTTTTACACTTTAAAGACATATTTTTTAATTTTAATTTTTTTTTTTTTTACAAATCGGATCTGACTGGTATAGGAGATTGCCCTTCCTTCTCCAGCAGACCATCTGGTGGATTTGAACCTTATACCTCTGGGATTGCAGTGCAGCTTCTTGCCACTAGGCCACCCGAGCTTCCTTTAAGGACATCTTACTGCTGATTTGCCCCATTCAGTGTATCGTTTACTATCTTGGCTGCTGCTTCCAGGAACATAGATTGTGGATCCAGGTGAAATGAAGTCTTTGACAGTGTGTCTTTTCCCCGTCGCCGTGAGGATGCCTTTCGGTCCAGTTGTGAGAACTTTGTTTATGTGTGACCCGTTACTAAAGGTTGTAGTCTTTGATCTTGACTAATCATTTCTAGTCTCCGTTTCCAGAAAGCAGGTCTGTCGTCCACGTCAGTCAGGGTACTGTCTGCATGCTGCTTCAAATTGTCCGGCTTCCCGGTGGTTTGCTCAGTGCACAGCTTGAGTGGTTCTGGGGACCGGGCACAGCCCTGACACACACGGCCCTGACGCACACCCTTTCTAACGAGCCAGCACCTCATCCCAACACCTTGGTCTGTGCCCAGGGCCCGCAGGAGCCTGAGGAATGCCGTCTCTCACAATGCTGAGGTGCATGTGGCCCCCACTGTCTGTCGGGGACCTTCACATCATCTTCACTGTCCTGTGCATCCTTGCACCCTGCCATTTGCCTTAGGGCTTGACTTGTGGCGTTTTTATTCTCGCGATTCCCAGAATCTCCTTTCTCATCAGCCAGTGTGCTTCCTGCCTGTGGCTCTGTCTTCCTTTGAGAGCTGCCCTCCCCTGCTGTTTCCGACCATGGCGTCACGCCTTCTGGGTTGGTGGTGGGTGCCCTCAGTTGCTTCCAGCTCCCAGGGGCACCGTGTGCCGCAGGAGGAAGCCTTGGGGACCCTGTGGATCCTCACAGCCTCTGTGGGGCTTCAGTCTGTCGTAGCCTGTGGCAGTCCTGCTGCAGAGCCTTCCTCTCTCCACTGGCCACCATTCCCCAGTGTGAGGTCTTTCTCCAGGGACTGACCCCTCCTGACAGCTTGCCCAGAGATGACACCTCTCCATCCTGCCTCCAAGCAGCTGGCTGCGCTTCCACCCACAGACCTGCTTTTGCTTTTGACAGTCCCGGGACCTTGCAGCAGCAACCCCCCTGGCACCTTGCAGCAACCCGTGGACTTTGCAGTACCTGCCCCCCCCGAACCTTGCAAAACCCCCAGGACCGTGCAGCACACCGCCAACCACCCTGCACAAGCCTAATTCTTCCTGGGGCTCCCTAGTCACAGCCCAACTTCACGTGTGTCTGAGGCAACTGTCAATCCTGCAGCTTGAGCGAGGCTTTAACGGCTTTCTTCTAGCATTTCTCAGATTTTTGTTTCCATGTTTAAATCTTCGGTCCAGGTGGGGTTTATTTGGGTGCGCGCTGGAAGGACGGATTTCTGTGTGATTAGCTTCCAGGGACCTCTCCCTCCCCCCATGCCCCCCACTGATAGGAAGCACTCCTCATGGTGAATGGACAGACGGCCCCACCCACATACCAGCACCCCAGCTTCTGTGCTGTCATGTGACGCTCAGGACTAGACCTGCCCCGCTGGCCTTTTTAACTGATCTTCAGAATGTCCCTGTTTACGTTCGGACAGGAAGTTCTGGCCTCTGGTTGTCTAGCACCACGTAAAAGGCTACTGGGGAGTGTTTTGGGCGCTCTGGTGATGCAGCCTGTGGGGGCTGCACTGCAGCCCAGGGGCAGCACCTCCGGGGGTTCGAATCCCCACCCCGCGTGACTTACAGCCTCGGGAGCCCGTGGAGGGTCCACGGTGGGGTGAACACAACACAATACAACACAACACAACCCGCAACAGCAGTGAGAGGACAGCCGTTTCAGAGCACTGAGGGCAGCGTCGGACGCGCTGACCACCTAGTGGACAGACCACAGGCTCCCACCCCCAAACTCCCACCAGTCCTGCAGGAAAGGTGGACAGTCCCCTCCTTGACTTTTACAGGCTTGGACCTGACGGAGGACAGCAGGAGCCACTGGCTGCTCCCCGGCCAAGCGTGCTCCCAGCACAGTGTGCTCCCGGCAGAGTGCTCCCCGGCACAGCATGCTCCCGGCAGAGTGCTCCCCGGCACAGCATGCTCCCGGCAGAGTGCTCCCCGGCACAGCATGCTCCCGGCAGTGTGCTCCCGGCACAGTGTGCTCCCCGGCACAGTGTGCTCCCGGCAGAATGTGCTCCCCAATAGAGCGTGCTCCCTGACAGCCACTGGGGGGTGTTGGTTCACGGTGATTTAGGGAGCGTTAGTGTCTTCACAATGCCTCTGGACACTAGTCAGTCAGATGACCCTCTCTGGACCCCCGGTGTCAGAGAAGAGGGAGAGGGAGGAACAGAAAAGAGGGAGAGAAGAGGGGAGGAGGGAGGGCTGACCTGAGTCACTGTGGGTCTGGATGGGGACCCTGGGGCCGGAGAGGTGAGAAGCAAGGCAGGAACATCCAGGATGGACACCACTCATCCCGTCAGGGCTTCTGCTGACCTGTGGACCACTGTCCTCTGCCCCAGGTCTCCTTAGGCCTGAAAGGACCATCTCCACTGGGGCATGCTGTCCTTGCAGAGAAGGGACATTCTTCGTCATAGGAACTATGACCCTTCGGTCTGGGCGTGGGCTGGCCTGGCTTCCTTTCTCTCACACCCAGGAAGCCCCCGAGGCCATCGTGGCTCTGATCAGGGCCTCTGATGTGGCCACCATGCACAGATGTTCTGATGAGGGACACCACCAAGTGCCCAGTCATGCTGGAGACCCTGGCCCTCCCAGGCCACACTGCTGTGTCGGGGGTCACATGCTTGTGCTCAACACGATGTCTGCTGTACAGGAAGTGTTGTCTACCCCACGTCCCTGTCCTGTCCACACTGTGTGTGTGTGTGTTTGTGACTGCGTGGATTCCCCCTGCTCTCCCCACGTCCCCATCCACACTGTGCTCGCATGCTGGGGCAGGGGCCCTGGGTGTCCAGGCGGGGCTGGGCCACAATTGTGTCCATCGCCCGCAGAGCTGGACGGTGGTGACCTCAAGGACTGCGTGAGCCACCACAGCCTGAGCAGCAATGCCAGCCTCCCCAGCGTGCAGAGCTGCCGTCACCTGCGTGCCCGGCGTGTGGCCAGCTGGGCGGTGTCCTTTGAACGCCTTCTGCAAGACCCCGTGGGCGTGAAGTACTTCTCCGTGAGGATGAGCTGTTGGCCGGGAGGGCGCGGGGCACAGGCCAGGGCCACCTGGACTAGGGAGGGC